GGGGGGGGGGGCTGTGGGATTTGGGGCTGCGGGGCTGACGCGCTGTCTGACAGGTCTGGATGGGCTGTCGGAGCGCTGCGCCCAGTACAAGAAGGATGGGGCCGACTTTGCCAAGTGGCGCTGCGTGCTGAAAATCAGTGACAACACCCCCTCCGCGCTCGCCATCATGGAGAACGCCAACGTCCTGGCCCGCTATGCCAGCATCTGCCAGCAGGTACGTGTCTGTGTCCGGGCATCGCCCCCCCCATAGGATGGTTGTTGACTGAAGAGGCCAGGTATTGCCCCACAGGGATGGGGACAGATCCATGGGGCTCAGCATTGCCCCCATGCCTGGGTATCACCCCGTGGGGCTGGGCATCAAGGCTGGGTAACACCTCACATGGGTGAGCATTGACCCCTGGGACCAGACATTGACCCCCAGGACCAGGCATCACCCATAGGGCCAGGCATCAATCTATGGGGCTGGGCATCACCCCACAAACATGGGCATTGCTCCATGGGGCCAAGAACTGACCATCCCTGGTTGGGCATCACCCCATGGGGCTGGGCATCACCCCACTGGGCTGGGCATCACTGGCAAGGGAGGATATTGAACTTTGGGGTTGAGTATCACCCCCTAGGTCCAGGCATTGGCCCACATTGCCATGGGGCTAGGGCGATGCCCAGGGACAGCCCCATAGTGACGTCTGCCTGGTGTTTGCAGAATGGCATCGTGCCCATCGTGGAGCCGGAGATCCTGCCTGATGGTGAGCACGACCTTAAGCGATGCCAGTATGTGACGGAGAAGGTGAGTGGTGGGGCGGGCAGCAGGGTGGGCACTGTGCCGTGCTGTGCCATGCCATGCCAGGGGACTCCACACTGCCTGTCCTCCCCAGGTGCTGGCAGCAGTCTACAAGGCATTGAGCGACCACCACGTCTACCTGGAGGGGACCCTGCTGAAGCCCAACATGGTGACCCCCGGGCACTCCTGCCCCACCAAGTACAGCCCTGAGGAGATCGCCATGGCCACTGTCACTGCCCTGCGTCGCACTGTACCCCCAGCCGTGCCAGGTACCAGCACCGGGACATGGTGGGGACCAGGAGGGGGATGCCCTGTGGGCCTTCAGTGCCATAACCTCGCTCTCTGCAGGTGTCACCTTCCTGTCTGGGGGACAGAGTGAGGAGGAGGCTTCCATCAACCTCAATGCCATCAACACGTGCCCGCTGATGCGGCCATGGGCCCTCACCTTCTCCTACGGGCGGGCGCTGCAGGCGTCGGCGCTCAGCGCCTGGCGTGGGCAGCGGGACAATGCCACCGCAGCCACCGAGGAGTTCGTCAAGCGCGCAGAGGTGACGGGGATGGCTCCTGCAGGGGAGGGGTGCTGAGGGCTGTGTCCCATGGGTTGGTGGGGACACTGAGGGCTCTGTCCCCATGGGAGCAGGCGCACTGATGACTGTGCCCCTTGGGATGGGGGATGCCAAGGGCCATGTCCCGTGGGGTGACAGGAGTCACCAAGGACCTTGTGCCCCACAGGGGAATGGAGGGTGCCGAGGACCAGGCCCCTGTGGGATGGGCCATGCCCCAAGGGTGACATGGGACATTGAGAACTGTGTCCCTGTGGGAAGAGAGGTGCCAAAAGCCATGTCCTGTGGGGTGATGGGGGACACCAAGGGTTGTGTCCAGAGAGATGGGGGGCACCGAGGGCTCTGTCCCCATGAGAAGGGGGTGCCAAGGCCTGTGTTTTTGCAGGGGTACAGAGGACACCCCCATGGTCTGGGGGGACCCTGAAGGTTGTGTCCCCAGCGACTGTGCGACCCGGAGGGCCATACCCCAGTGGGGCCACTGACATTTCTTTTCCCCGCAGGTGAACGGGCTGGCGGCACTGGGCAAGTACGAGGGCAGCGGGGACGACTCGGGGGCCGCCGGGCAGTCCCTCTACGTGGCCAACCACGCCTACTGAGCCCTGGCCGGGCACCCCACCGGCCCCGGCCCCCTCCCCGACACTGCTCACACCCCGCTTTCACCCCAGCCACCCAGGGGAGCCGCCACGCGGGGAGGGGAAGGGGAACGCGCCCCGCAGGCCGGCCCCACGCCGCCGTGTCCGCAGAT